CTACGATGACTTGCAATCAGAAATGATACAAAAGCTAGAGCGTGAACGACCCGGCACTTTCTTCGCTCAGTTGCAAGCGTAAGATTACATCAAAGAGTTGACCAGTTGACATAACATCTAGAACGATCTGGTACTCAATTGTAATCGAAAAGAAGATTATTTATGCTGTTTCGTTCCCAACCCTTATGCGATGAATCTACCTTAAGAGAGCCTTTCATGTAACCGACAGTCTTCTTGATTCACAAGAATGAAATGCACAATAGAACCTTGTTGCCGTGTGGATCTGATGGAACCATCCCTGAAAGGGCTTGCCCTAGATCAAACCTTGTTGAATTTCTAGTTAATTACGTGTAAAAGAGCTCTAATTTCATTGTGCTAGGTTACTCTGTTAAGCTCATAGATAATGAACAAGCTTTGCATAAGTTGATACATTTCACATTATAGAGGCTTGTTGAAGGGGAAAAAGAATCTTTCTGAATTATGCGATATATACAAAGTGAATTAAATAGCAGTATGTGAAAAATACAACCCCAGTTTCTTTGTCGATCTTGTGGACTTTGACATATCTCTCCTTTTTCTTTACTTTGCCAAAATGATAGGAATACCAACATCAGCAAATCAACAATAACATTAGACTCAAATAAAAGTATACAAAGTGCATTCCAAAACACAATAAGCCTGCGTACATTCTTCTCTAACCCTTATATACTGAAACTTGACAATAGTGATTCCTGTCAATTTAGAACACTTCACCGCAAATGTAACCCCATAACTTTCCAGTACTCATAGCTTGCCGTGTACATTGTTTATCATGGAATAATTAATATGTGATCTTTTCTCAGCTTAGCCTGTGAAAGTAATCGAAAACGAAGAAAAGAGAGTAGTTTGAAATCACGACTTCTAAAGTACCTGCAAGATTAAGAGTGGAGTCAATTTTCAATGTGATCTTTCTTGCACTCCAGAGACGAGACAATTCTATATATATCTTGGACGAATGCTTCTACTGTTCCATTTTGAAGAAAAGTTGGTGAGTCGCGTTAATTTGGGTTGGTAATCTCCAGAAAGGGATTAGTAAATTTAGGGGGTTGCCATCCAAGGCAAAAACTAAGTTGGTTACTTGATAGAAAAAGTGGTAAAGTAAAAATATAATTAATGTTAGTACCTAATTCAAATGATAGTTGGTATTCTTTTTTTTTTTGGTCCAAAGAGTTGGCAATCTAAAACTAGTTAATTTGATAAAAATTGATAAGTATTCTAATGTAGGTTGAAAATTTCATATAAAGGTTAGCAAGTTCGAAACATCAGTGAATTATACAAACAAAAATCGGCAAGTTATTAAAAAATCGTCATTTGTAAACTATAAAAACAAATAGGTAAATAGATAAAGTAAACCAATAATTCCAGTTTTTTTTATCAACAGTGTTTTTGCACTTATCAATATTTAGTGATATTTACCGACACGGAAAAAATATTTTTTTTTTTTACACGGAACAATATTTGTTAAAATTCACCGCCTTCATCCTCCGATAGATGCCGACATCGAACCATTCTAGGATCAAACTCCTACATGCTCACTCGTCTCGATTCTTACGAATCTTCCGGACCACCATTTCGAGAGCTCGAATGAGAATCATAACCGCAATCTAACACGAGATGTAAATGAAAAGTAGAGCGCAAAGGAGTGTCGAGATCAAGAGGATGAAAAAGCAAGGTAAAAACGAGAGCAAACAGAACTGGTGGCTGGACTAACGTTCCAAGAAAACACAAGGATAACGCAGAGCTTTATCAGTCTTGAAGAGAAGGGAAGCACTGTCTTTAGCACAGACACAAGGATGGAGTTCTTTCGTTTTGACTCGTAAAACCGATAAAGCGTACATGGTTGGATTAAGGGTGTGATTTTTTTTTTCCCAGAAGAATTTTCGAGAAAGTAGGAACTGTCCATATTATCTGCAACCAAGAGACAAGAAGATTCTGATAACCCAATTCTAGGGCATAGAGACGATGATGATGATATGCGTGGGGAGTGCTTGTACGGTTCCCACCACCTATTTTGCGGAGCATAGTCGGACTAGATAAATTTGCAGAAATAAAGAAAGCGTCAACTTTGCGAGGGTTTTCATTAAGATCGTCCGAGAAAATCCTTCTGACGTAAAGTGTTTGAATCTGATCGTGTGTGTAGTCGAAACCTATTTATGAAACGATTAGATTTTCGGACAAAACAGATGCCCATTTCGTACTACTAGTTATGCTCTACCAGATGAAAATCTTTGACTGATTCTGATTAGCAGGTAATGCTTGTTGTTATGTTCCTGAGCATGGCAAGAGGAAATGGTCCAGTATACGTAAAAGGACACTTTGTGGTGGGTGAGCGAAGGTTGAGGACAGTGATTGCTTGATTTTGGTTAGGTTCTAGACCGCACGCCTTTGCATGTTGATATGGTTCGATCAAATTATGGGGACGTCAGTGCTTTAATTGCCTGAAAAGCTTTTTAATCAATGGGCCAAGGTAAAGTGTATCCATGCATACGCCACATCTCCCGTCTCCATTTTACAATCATTGGATTTGTGCTACGTGACGATCTATACTAACTAGAAAAAAGAAACTCCCGATAGCACTCCGCCTTCTGCCTCAGACTACACCTCCATCCTCGCCGCCACTTGACGCCTGCCATCTCCCGGGAGCCGACCGCCGACGAGCCGATCTGCTGCCCCGTCCCTACCAATCGGGCCGTCTCGTTCATCTACTTATAGGTGGTTTTAAGGGGTCTTTTTGGGTCTTCCGAGAGCAACATTTATTTGCTTTTCTTGGGTGGTCGATCTCCCCATGCATGCATGCAAAGACCCCCCGAAATTTAATTTGGGGTTTAGTATATCGATACATTCCAAACAAAAGATGGTTTATTATAACACCTTCAATGGAAACTTCGAAAAAGATGACCTCGCTCAAATTGCTGAGAAACAAGAAACGTTGACATTAATTACCTAAAACGTCTCTTTGAATTCTAACTCGAGTAATAAGTTTGGTGACCATCAACCGGTTCGGGTGAAGATTAACCCTAATTTTTGATAACCCAGTAATCTTTGGAACAAGAGCAAAGGTGGGGAGATGAAAAGTTCCCCAGTATGCTCGATGCTTTTATCGAGAGATAAGTTCTTGGATTGTTTATATCGGATCTTGTGTCTTTGCTTTAATAATTATTAACGAAGATTTGGAAAATTGCATGGTCTTTTCTTTCTTTCACTCTTTTTAATGGTTCGTGTTTTGCCTCCGCCTCTTTGGAATGCTGAGTTGAATTTCCCCCATATCGTAACACCTCCTACTATGGAACATTAGGTCAATGAAACATACGATCCAAATCTCTAGTATACACAAAATGGGAGAGGTTGTATTGAGTAATATATAAGTTAGCACCCACTCTCAAATGGTCAACACCTTATGTGGTTATTTTGAGTTCTTCATTTGGGGCTGAATACACATGGAACGGGCTAGGTTGTTACAAAAACCCATGACACTGAATTTGAATCCGTATACCATGACGCGTGGCACGAATTATAATTTTTCTCAAATTAATGGGACTATAATTGAAGTATAAAGGGAGGATGGAAATGAAATTTGGGAAAGACTTGGACTCTTGGTTATTAGAAATGACGAAATAGAATACCCTAATCGCATGCAAGGTATTTGATAGCAAGATTGGTGGCGGATTGTTATGCCCCTCTAAATTAGGTATTTGTTCGTGTTTTTTCACACTTCAAGGTGTGAAAAAAAAAAGGAATAGATGTGATAATTGATTGGTCATATACTCGTGGTTTAGGGATACAATAGAAACTCCAATTCACGAGAAAAAAAAAATCTAATCGAAGAACTACTGAAGCCAGAAAGAAAAAATGACATCTCTTCGGCGAAGTTGATCACCACTTGCTTCGGATACCAAAGATGATTCGAGGCACACAATTTTGATTGAACTGAAAACACATACTAGCATTAACCACGAGAATGGAGTGCAAAATATACCACATAAATAGACCGCATTAAAAGATAGTACCTGAAGACACTAAGCAAAACCAAAATAGAGACATTAGAGCACACATGCAACGACACAAATTCCTCGTTTTACTTAGTAGCTATAGTGACTACTTCTTGCGCAGGTTGCGGAAGTATGACGCTGAGTCGTTCTCGAAGTCGTCCCGGAAGATGCGCATGTCCCTCCCGGGAGCTTTCATGGTCCTCCTTCCGCCAGACTTGGACGAGTCGCCCATCAGACTCGCCACCCCCACGGCCAAGATTGCCAAGCCGGCGATGGCTCCCGCGGCCATGGCAGCGCCACTCAACTCCTCGGCCTCACCATTTTCGTCTCTGCTTTTGCTCTCGCTCCCTCCCATATCAATTCTGATCAATGTCAGTATGCCTTCGGATATGATATGGCTATGAGGTCTCTCTAGCGTTCTACGTGACTTGTTTGCTTTGGGTGAGAGGAGAGTTTTTGGGTGATTTTATAGGAAGCTTTGATGGCTTTGGAGTTTGGACTTGGAGTAATTCATTACTCAATGCTCTCTCTCTCTCTCTCTCTCTCTCTCTCTCTCTCTCTCTCTCTCTCTCTCTCTCTGGAAGACGTATGAGACTTCCACTGCTTAAATTTCCGAGATCAAATCTTAAATGAATGCCCGACTCCCCACCAACCCCTTCTACTTTATGATCACAGTTATACTTTCGACAAAGAGAAATACAATTGTATGGGCTCTATAAAGCTACTCACGTTGTAGTAAATGTTCAAAAAGCAGATCTTTTTTAAAGGCGCCAGCATGAGTTTTACTAATCTCGAAGCAATTCACTTGAATCTGGTAAATTTGTTCAACTGAGGACACTAAGTGCTTGATGAGACTTGCCTTTCGATCTTCCTCGTTATTATTCAAAGTCAAATGGTCAATGTCTGGCAAATCAAACTCCAATGTTTTGAACTGCTTAAATCTGATGCGAACATCTCGGGTGGAAATAAAGATCAGAAGAAATCAACCATGTAAAATTTTCATATTCATGTTCACTTACCATTTCTTATGCAGGCCTGCAAGTTCCGAGCGAATAAATTAGGGGAGTGGTCTAAAATAGCAACAGGGACAGAGTAAGTTCACTCCAGATACCATAGATCAGCAATTGAAAAGCGGCAACAGGAGTGGGATAACACACATATTTACAAATATAATCGATCCAGCCTCTAGCAAACAACCACGATGGAATGTTCCTCCAAGTCCTTGATCATGTTGGTTTCTGCTGATGCTCCTCATCCTCATCATCCTGCAGATTTCCATTAATTAGTCCATCAAGAATCGATTCTGGGGAAAGATCATCAACCTATGGACCACAATTCAACAGGAAAGAAGGTTGAGATACCAGGATAGACTTACCAGATTTTCGATCTTATCAAAATCATCACCAAAGCTCCCTTCACCATCATCTAGAAGACGAGAACAAAGGTTAACAACTGAATGATTGCATATGGATCTATTAGAAGACTGGCAAAACAAATTTACCAACACATCTGCACTCCCCCTGGATGGACAGGCCAGCTTAGATAAAAATATGAACATATAAACATATGCATATGTCAGCATGGTGGGGGTGGGGCCTCGTAGCTCTCTCTCTCTCTCTCTCTCTCTCTTAACCATACATAAAAAGCAATAGTACAGCAACGCACAATATTGATCCCACAAGTGGGCATTCCTATGATGTGTAGCTTCATTCTGTATCAACATTTACTAAGCGTCATTAAACAGCTCATGTGAACAAGCTACAAACCCGAACATTATAAAATAAATACTGCAAAACACAAAACCGATCGGCTAGCTCAATCAGCCAAGTCCAGATGGACTGTTCGATAAAACTCATATAGAATCCTGACTGAAGTGGGACCCAATCAATCTGAATGAGCTCTATATTGGTGGACTCAGCCAAGTTTGTGCAGGTTTAACACTAAATCGGTGCTTTCAGATAAAAAAGAACATCAAGGCGCTGCAGTGCAGGTTTGTCGTCAACATTGTATGTCAGCATTACAGGCAACATTTGCCATAGGCTGACTATTTGAGCCACAGCACTTAGTTTTCTCATGTTTGCGAATTTTTACTAATTATAAAACTGATCAGGCAGCTGAACTGGTTGGACAGATCGACGTTACTCAAGCAGTTAATGCTTTGTCCCGGTTATGAAGTGATTTACTTAAAGGGATACGAGCACACTAAAACTATCGTCTCCTTGCAATAAATTTGTTTGATAGGTCATTTATCAAGTTCATTCTGTATTCGACTTCCTAAAGGATAACACTCGAATTCAGCAGACAGACAATTCTTATGAATTACTGATCACACAGTTCCCACTCATTGGCTCCAGACAAAATGTCAGTCGGAAATGCAGCCAGTCTGCAGGCGCAGCCAAACTTAATGACTTTCTTAGGAGGAAGCCATTGGGGTATAAGAGGTGAGGACAGCATGGCAACAGTTATTTTTTGCAACTTTTTCGACAATAGTTGAACTAAGCATCGGTCCAGCTGTAACAATCAAGAGAAGACACCTAAATGTAGGGTCATAAAATTTGTGTCGTGATCACAAATTTCTATGAACTACACTAAAGAATCAAAAGAACGTACCTGGGCCTCCATCACTGTCCTCAAGATCTCCAAGAAGAAAAGTATCCAAGTCTTGCTGAGCAGACAAACTCGATGTACTGCTTTTCATGCTCTTCTCCACCACTTTAGGATTTTGGGTCTCTGCATCGGGGTCCTGCATCATCTTCTCAGCTTTAGCTTGCTCCGCAGCCTTGAGCTTGGCGTCCTCCAAGTACCTTTTCTCATACCTAGAAAAGAAGAGAGAAATATGCTGCTGTTTGAGACCAATTATGTCCCAAAAAACAAACAATATGTTTAACTTCTTAGACCTTAAAATGCAGACACCTAACTTTAGTAATGAACGGAGACTAGATGTCTGAATTCAAGACACAAAAGGCTTTCAAGGGAACGCAATGAACAACCAAAATGAATCTTCTCATCAATTACCAAACACAATTCTTTTTTTCATATGACCCAGAGAAAAAAGCCATTTAGCAGGTCCTTAACCACACCATTTTACGAAGGAAGAATAAGCCCAGCAACATTGCACAAAGCTTAGTGTATGGCAGACGGTAGCTTGGAGGGCGTATCAAGTAAAGCAGAGGAGACATTCTCCCTTGAACTAGGAAAATCACTCGATTTCATCCCAACCCACGAAGCAAATTGACTTACGGGGCCACATGAGTGCTCACGAGAGTAAAATAGATCCTCCAAAATCTCCTTTCTTTCATAACCCGAGGGCACAATTGATACCGTAGCCGCGAAATCTCCTGCATAACGAGACCATCGTGAAACAAAGAGAAGCTATCATGGCTTCTCGCAGCAAAACACGTACAGAGATCACCAAAGGCAAACATTTAGACCAGAGGCAGCATAGGGAGCTCTTTCAAACCTAAACGACATTGAGCAGAACGATAACTCCTTGTCCAAACAAAACTCAATCGCGCCGATCTGAAACACTCGCAAGCACATTTCTTACCAAGCCACAAGGACTCGGCGTCGTACCTTCACGGTCGTGAGGACGAGAGTCGCGTGCTTCGCTTGCCACTCCGTCAGATCCCGCCTCACGTTCGAACCAGCCGCGGCAGCACCGCACTCCTCCTCCTCCACCTCCTCGTCATCTACCATCACAACCAAACCATCAAACGACCACGCCAAAATCAATCCCTACGACCTCACAGGAGCCTCGAGGAGATCAAAGAAATGAACCTCGAATCGGGAAGTTCTGGAACGTCGCGGGCGTGAACCCCTTGACGAACTCCCGCAGGTCGCCGGTGACGCCGAGCTTCTCGAGGTCCTCCTCCTCGGCCGCCGGGGGAGGGGTAGGGGCGGCGGCATTGGCTGAGGGGCCGGCGTCGAGCGGGGAGATGGAGTCGGCGATGGACTTGATCTGGTCGGCCTGCTTGAGGGCGGCGGCCTTGAGCTCGTCGGCCTTCTTGGAGGCCTCGAGGGCGAGCTCCCGAGACTTCTTGGCGGTCTCGGAGATGAGATCGGAGATCTTGACGGAGGTGGCGGCGGAGGTGGCGAGGGTCTGGGACTTCTTCGCCGCTTCCTCGGCGAAGGTCTTCGCTCTCTTCCACCAATCCTCCATCGCCGCTGCTGCTGCTCCTGCTCCTCCTGCAGCTGCTCCGCTTCGAACGAGAACGAGAGCGAGATTTCTTTCGCCTCGGGATCGAAGGGAGCTCCAATTCTGGATGGAAAAATGACACGAATAGTTCTGAACTTTGGCTCAATGTGCAATTTGATCCCTGAATTTTTAATTTATTCAATGTAGTCCCTGAATTTTAGCTGAATGTTCAATTTGATCCCTAAACTTTTAATTTGTTCAATGTGGTCTCTGGACTTTTAATACATGTTCAATTTAGTCCCTGAACTATATGAAAATGTTCAATATAGTCCTTCCATTAATTCAAGTTTAGGGACTATATTGAATATTTTCATATAATTCATGAACTAAATTGAACATATACAAAAAATTCAGGGATCACATTGAACAGATTAAAAATTCAAGGACTAAATTGAACATTAAGCTAAAATTCAACGACTATATTGAACAAATTAAAAGTTCAGGGACCGTTTGTGTCATTATCCCATTCTGGATCTCCGCCCCCGGGAAGCGGCGTCGTTCGGGGCAGCGGTGGGGATAGCTTTGGAAGAGGTTTATTGACCCCTTATACACCGCACTTGTTTCGTCTTTTGCTAGCGCGCGTCTCGTGGAACGATAAACATCTTGTTCGAACCCCGAAAGTATAGTGAAAGAAAAAATTTGGCGTACCATAGAACGTATTCCAACGTTTGATTTCGCCATTTTTAATGTCGTTATGGGGCCTCTTCGATCGATTGAAGGAAAGGAAAGAGAAGGAGAGAGTTGGGGCCCGGTCGAGCAATTAAAGGAAAGGAAAGAAAAAGAGAAGAGTCGTTGCTTGTTGTTGTCGTGCAACCGTCGGCTGGGGTCCCGACGACTCTTCACCGTGCTGGAGTGAGGTCTACTGGTGCCTCGTGGTGGGCACGATAGGGGGAGGTGGCGGTCGGGGATGGACATAAATGAATAGACGTGCATGAATATACGAATGAAAGTTTAATGGACATTAGTGAAATATTTTGATCACGTCAGGATCCTGTTGATTATCTTGATTGGTAAGTGACCCCGTTGAACCAAATTTTATAAGTTGGACGATGACACTGAAAAAAGAGATCTCAGGAGCTGAAAAGTTCGCGATGATTCTCCTTTTAGCCACGCGTTATTTTCACGTGAATTGACATTTTTAATTGCAATTTCGACGTGACACGAATAAGATACGAGGGCGTAACCTTGTAGACCTTTTATGCAATTTTTACGGTATCATTTCTTTTTAACAAAATAAAAGCACCCAACATCATCGAATTCGATATCGCGGTGCTTCCAGGGAATTTCCTATGTCCACATCGAAACACGTTGTATCGAAGTGCATTTCATTTTAAATTTCTCAACGAATGTGTCATCACATACAGATATGCTTAAAAGTCTTTATTGAATGACCGAGATCCGATCCATTCTGTGTTTATAGTATTACCAATCTCTAAAGGGACAATCCCCACTGCTTCCTATATGATGATGATCCAAGGATCATGTTATGTTAGCACAGAACTCAATCAGAGAAAGAGAACAGAGAGAGAGAGATTTCATGGAATGCGGAGGGGGGGTGGTAAGGAATAGAACATATATCACTGCATAACTTTAGACATGCATGAAACCACAAATTCCAACCAAAGAACTCTCATCTATCACCCCCTCAAATCCTACAAGGGCAACAAAAGAGGGCAAAAATATAGAGAAAAAGGGCAGGTGTATACATCTATCTAACAACTAGAATGACCTAGATAAATTTCTAGGGAGGAGATGCAGTTCAGAATTTACAGCATAGAAGTCGTTCCCTCCAACCCTTGTGCTTCCTGAGCCGTCGCCGATCCGATTTCGCCATCCTCACTGGGCTGCTATTCCACTCGGACTGCAATCTGCACACCGAAGGAAAAGGAAAACCCACAAAGGGAACTTACTTCCAATAAAACAGAATACGTAGCCAAAACACTCTTTGAGCTGGAACACTATAACACGATAATTACACTGGAAAGGCAAAGGATCTAGCGCTGGTCGTGCTGCTATCTGATCTGAGAGAGAGGCTTCCTGAATAAGCTATCGGTCCCGAGTAAGTTATAGAGCCGGACACAGGGCCTGCCACAGAGAAACTCGACTCTCCGAAATCATGCCGTCCTAGGGAAGAATCAGTTCGCCTATCAGAAGCTCCATCCGCTCTTTGCACGTTCTGGCCCTCTCGCTCTTCTTTATTCCCATTACTTGAACTCTCCCCTCTATCGCTCGATTCAGGTGCTGAAGCATTGAAACTGAAGGTAATACTTCCGCTCTCCACTTTGCTGCAGTAAGATAACTCGTTGACAAGATCCCCACACTCCAACCTTTCGGATGGAGATGGGTCAGTTGCGACACGGTTCTCAGGGCTTCTGTTATCCATCTCGCTGTTGTCTCGTGAGTCATGGACGAGGGTGGTATCATTCGATTCTTTGATGATAGAAGAGGGGGATGGGGGAGCATCCTCCTCACTCCCTTTGACTGATTCTTGGGTTTTAACCAAGGACAAATTCGAGCATGCCATCACGGATTCGTCGTTTGAGACCTGTATTCAGGATAAAAAAAATAAACGCTTAGCCTACAGAGCCAACTCTATGCATCGTATTTATATGAATTCCAGCTGACAACAACAAAGTATCTCAAACTCGACTCCAGAACCAAAACAGAAGAAAGAACAAAAGGTTAAAGCCTCAGTGGTCATGGAGATCTCACTTGAAACTTAACAATGAGACATTATGGCTAGTAACAAGATTGTCACTTCTTTTCTCAGTTCTGAAGAATTCCAATGTTGAAACACATGCACAAGAGTTGCCACCTGTGCATTCATATCATCTTTTAAAAGTAGCACACATGATCTACACATACAAAGCTAAACCTGAAACCTGACAGACTTTGTTTAATATTCCAAAATGAGGAAATACATACCATAGGAGAGGGTGGCTTCATTCCATCAACAATATCATCAGAAGACTCTCGGTCGGGATTTTGTGAAGCCAACTCTTGGACTGAAGGAACCACTTTCTCTTTGGATAACTCATCCACAAATTTGTCTGCTGTTGTGTCTGCCCGCACCAAATCCTCAGAACAATTTTTGGAACGTTCCAGTGCATCTAAGTCACTATTTGCATCCTTCTCTAAAGGCAAATAGGCATGCAGGCCCTTATTTCCATCAGTTTCTGACAAGGTAGCCTTGTGAGAGGGGACGCCTTCGTCTACGCAGATGTCTTTGACTTCACAGAAAGGGTTTTCTTTGTGACTAGGTATCGACTTATCAATCTCGCATTCCGTGACAGATTTATCAGTGAAAAGGTCCAAGTCCTCCTTAACCAGTTCTGTTTCTCCAGTAGAATCAGTATATGAAGCGAACGAACTTTTTCCGGTCAATTTGTCGCTCCCAGCGAGATCCTCATCAGGCTCCGGATTGTTCAATCCTGGCACTGGCCAAAATCCAACCCCAGAATCGACATCAATCGGCACTGGAGCAGCAACATTCTCATTGTACTTCATATCATCTAGGTTTCCCTTCATGGTGTCCTTGTCCGACTTTTGTTCAACAGTTGTCATGGGGTCATCATTGTGCTGAAAGGACTTTGCAGTATGATTATGGACCTGATGTTGCACCACCGTCTCACCATCTGCAACGCAACACACCACTAACGCGTAAGGAAAAATGTAACTAAGGAATTAAGGATGATTTAGAGTGGTAACTGCAACTTCCCACTTGAAGCAAAAATTCCAGAAACTCGTTATGACTTTTAAGTTTTAAGCAAGTCAACCAGACAGATGAAACTTCTGTATAAAATCTAGATTAGAGAGATGGTTGGCAAGTGCTTGGAGCCCATCGATGGAGATATCATCTTTTAGGAAAAGAAATTTTCCAGCCTTTGCTCTGGGATGAGACAGTCAAAGGCTGCAAGTATTCTTTTAATGTGTGTAAAAACGCATCGATACGAATTCTGAACATTTTCCGCTAGGATAACATGCAGGGCATATAACAGAAAAAGATTCAGTACCGATCTTCATAGTTGAACATGTAGCCAAATCTCAGAAGAACTCTTCCTGAACTGCAAGCTATTTATGTCATTTGTCACGCTGGAGTTCTCTGCAACAAGGAGATCCTGATATCGAACAGAGTCATGTCAGTAAGCAACTATTGTGTACATATGGGCCTTCACGGGACCTCACATAACAGGAAAACTATATGACCAGCAGATTCTTTTCAAGCATCCAGCAACACCAGCACAGTCCAAGAGCATCATTGGTTCATCAAAGTTAGTCATTACCATTGGAACAAGAACGCAAAAAGGCAAAAGGACCGTTGAAAGTCCTGGACCATTTCAAAGTCTTTTTTTTTTTTTCCAAAACAGTTCGTGATAGCCCACGGAGACGAATGGCTCTAGAATGGGCATCAGCTTATATAGACAGGTCGTTCCCAATCTTGATCCGGGCACCATTTGATATTTCGACAGAGATGAAGCATCAAATGCAAAACTGGAGAAAAAGGCCAAAACCATGACTGGTAAACCGGGGACACAGTGAGTGAGTTGAGATGGCCCTGTTAAGCCTATCAAAAAGGAAGCCGATATTGTCTTCAGATAATGCGCACTCAGTTTGCCAATATAAAAAAAAAAAAAATGCCCTAACAATCTGAAAAGCACTGTCCTACGGAAATCTAGTAGAATTTTTCTAATGAGTATTATACCCGGATTGGTCCCCGGCCGAAAAAGCAAGAGCCGATGTGTGAATTGGCTGCGAAGACCAGAGATAGTGGGCAATACATTTGCACTCATCCCAAAGGGGAGGAAAAAAGAGAAGAGAGAAACAGTAAAGTGGCTAATGTACAAAAGGACAAGGGAAACAAAAGTTTTCGACTTTTCAAAAGCTTCCAAAACTTTCAACCCCCTAATGATACCCCAGATTCTTTTATACTTTCAAAAAGGTTAAAAAACCTCAGCTGACCCTTCTATTGGAGCGTTTCTCAGTTCACCGCCTTTGTCCTACCGGGAAGCTTCGATCAGTTCAAAAGCTCAAATTCAAGCACAAAACCCAGAACACAAACAGAAATTAGCACGATAGGGAAAAAGGAGAGAGAGAACCCAAATGGGTGTTGGCCAAAATTACCGAGAGAGATGGGAAAAATCCAAAAAGGCGAAGGGAATCCAGTAGACCAGAATCAGATCCGACAAGAAAACAACCTCAGAACCCAACCAAATACAAGGATCCAAAAACTGAACACGAAACCCGGGTACCTTTTGCCCTGATCAGCTACAACAGGACAACCATCAATTCTTCCATCCCTCGCTCTGTTTCAGAAGAGGCGGGGGGGCCATTCTCTCGAGTCACCCCACTGCAAAAAGAAGGGACAAGAAAAAAAAAAGGAGCAAAACATCAAGAAAACGGCAAAACCTGGGACAAAGATGACGAGAAAGAGAAAACAAAGGAAAGTACCCAACTACTTGGGCAACTCGTTTCGCAGATCAAGAAGTGGAGATTCCAGACACGGCAAAGAGCGAAGATGGAGGGAGGGAGAGAGACAGAGACAGAGGGAGGCGCACCTGCGCGTTCGAAACGGCAGATGGGTTCGGATTGAACTCGATGGGAAAGAGGGAGAAAGATCGTGGTCACGGCAGCAACGCGAGCACGGCTGCAGAGGACAGGAAAGGAGAGGAGGGAGTTCGTTGAAGCAGAGAAAGTGACGGAGGGAGCGGGGCGATGTAAAGGAAGAGGAAAGACAGAGCAGCGGCAGGAGGAGGTAATGCCAGATGAAGTAGGTGGCTAGAGAGAGAGATAGAGGGAGAGAGAGACGGGTGAGTTGTATCCATTTTATCAAACTCTTCCCAATAAAAAGGTCAACTACTAGGTTTTTATTAAAGAGGATAATAAACAAATGTTAAGTGTTTTATGTCAAGAGTTAATACTAAAAAAAAAAAAAGCTCAAATTGGGTACACTTGTGATAAATTTACCTCAAATTAATTTTTTTATCATAAAAAATCTCAAACTGATACGCCCGTGACAAATTTACTATCCGTTAGTTTCGATTAGTTTTACCATCAAATTGCTGAGTTGGATGACACGTGACAGTTAATGATTGTTTTGGTTTGGGGTTTTACGGTTCATTTGTCATAAGTGTACCGGTTTGTAAATTTTTTTTTATATTAATCCGATTTAACGAATCTAACAAAGGGTAAATTTGTCACAAGCAGTTTGGGATTTTTAGTGGCAAAAAAATTAATTTTATGTAAATTTATTATAGGTGTACCAGTTTGGATTTTTAGTGGTCAAAAAATTAGTTTTTGATAAATTTATCATAAGTGTATTAATTTAGGGTTTTTAGTGGTATCAACCATTACGTTAATTAGTGTCCGGAGGATTTTATCAATACTCAGGCGTGTATTTTAAGAAAGAAAGTTTTTTTGTGGGTAGAAAAGATAGAAAGTTTAAATTTCAATTATTCGTTTTTTTTTAAATAACATAGTGAATAATTTTATTATTATTATTATTATGTCCTAAGTGTCTCGAAATCACTTATCAGAATCACTGGATAAGTAGTAAATGTCATAACAAGGCTTCTTAAATGAACTCGGAAACGGAATATTTTGTAGCTGACTTTGCTTGAGACTTAACAGAAATTCATAAATTAGGAACCAATCTTATTTGATCTTATTACCAAAACAAGTCTTTCCGAAACACTCGTTATTCAAATATTTTTACCAGTTTGTAAGATATGTATTTTTATGACTCGAACTCTTTTTTTCTTAAACACGGGTCATTTCATATAAAGTGCATCGCAATCAATTTTATCTTCATGCCTAGTAGTAAAATTTAAGTGTTTTTTTAGGTATAATCGTGTCTGAATTTTAACCTTGTTAGTCTATGACTGTGCCGTGAAGCGACGCGACTTGTACGCCTGATAATATACGTTATGTTCTAAAGTGCTATAATTTGGGGGCATTGCAATCATGAGATTTTGTCAAACACGCCTTTAAAATATCCACACCACATGTCTTGGAAAAAGGCGCGGCGTCCCTTTTTACCGTTGGAGTTTTCGCGAGAAAATCGTACCAAACAACCTCTCGGCGGTGCTCTTGCCAAATGAATTTCTTGGACCAAAAGCGGACTTTAAATTAAATTCCCACCGGCGAAATATAAGGGAAACACATAGATATCACATTTCGCTTGATGACCGCTTACAATTGAAAATATCAAACACGCACCCTTGAATACCACCTAACACCTTCGCATTTTGAAGTCTTATATTTACGGAAAAATGTCATTTTTCTCCGACATCGTTCGTCATCAACTAAAAGCTCGAAATATTTCGACCCCAAAAAAAAAAAAAAAAAAAAGAAGAAGAACCGTTCAAAGATCAATTGAAACAAAGCGTTTAGCAATTGATGTCTCCGTCCCGATCCCAACTAACGAGAGGCCAAAAAAGCAAAAAGGCCTTTTTTTTTCCCTCTTTCCATTGCCCCGCCTTAAATGCGCCAAACCTCTCGCCTTTTTTTCCTCCTTTCGTGTGTGTAAAAAGCTCTTCGCTTTCATCGCATGAGCTGTTCACCACCATTTCCTCTCTTTCTTTCTCTCTCGTCGCCTTCCGTTTTCTTGCCATGGGCACGCCCGATTTTCCCTCCGCAGAAACGGCAACAAATTTTCCCGAGAAAATCCACTCGTGGCCTAAGGAACCGGGGGCGCCCCCCCGGAAAGTCACAGCTTAAAAATTGTCATGATGTGAAGTAGAAAATTTATTACCGGAAAAAGAAAACATATTGATTAACTTAAGAGTTAATACCACGAAAAATCCCAAACCGGTACTATGACAAATTTTGTCCTTTGTGAGTTTCCGTTAAATTTTTCCGTCGAATTGCTGAGCTGGACGACACGCGGTAGTTGACGGGTGTGCCGGTTTGGAGTTTTACCCTTCGTTTGTCAAATGTGCATCAGTTTGTGATTTCTTCGGGGTATTAATCCAATTTAACGGAAACTTACGGAGGGTAAATCTGTCATAAATATACCGATTTAAAAAATTTTTTGTAATCAAAAAATTAATTTAAAGTAAATTTATCATAAATATATCGATTTAAGATTTTTCGTGATATTAACCTTTAACTTAATTTAGTCAGTACAACCTCGTCTTTAGCGAAACGCTTTGCAAAAAGCGGGATAAACTAAACCCTACTTAATCCCTCTTCCCTATAGGCAGCTCTAATCATCGTCTACAGAAAAAAAAAGTAATTAATATTAGAGGAGGAACCTAAGAATTTAAAAATGGTTATTTCCTCTGCAGCGCCGATCCCGAACCATTCACGCCCTTCTTTTTTTATCTGGCTTACCTATGAGTTTCTTGCTCTTTTTCTTTTTCCTGTTTTTTAATTTCCCTTTACGCTGGACCACGTTTGGTTACCGAGACGAGGATTGGGATTACGGCGAAAAACGACGTGACAACAGATGCGGGAGATTCGCCGAGCCTTATGTTTTTGTCTGTGCTTGGTACGTGACGTGATAACATCCGAAATTAAAGATCAGGATTAATATTACGAAAAATTTCAAATTAATACATGTATAATAAATTTATCCCGAATTAATATTAAATCCCAAACTGGTGCATCCATAACAATTTTACCCTTAATTAGTTTCCGTTAAATTTTACTATTAAATTGTTAAGTTAGATGATACATGATAATTGGCAGATGTATCAGTTGTGAGTTTTACCCCTTCCGTTTGTCACGGATTTATCAATTTTGTGATTTTTCGTGATATCAATTCAATTTAACGAAAGGTAAATTTGTCATAAGTGTACAGAGATCAAAAAATTAGTTTGGATTAAATTTGTCGCAGGTGTACTGGTTTGGGGTTTTTCATGATCCGAAAATTAATTTTGGGTAAATTTATCACGGGCGTAGCAGTTTTAGGGTTTTTCGTGATATTAACCTTAAAGATTAAGTAAATGATAAAGAATTAGATGACTCGTAGATGAAAAAGCCTACTCTACTGTACATGTAGGATGAACAGCGCATTGTGGCGATTGCCGTTTCCATCAATTCCGCAAGCGACGACGACGTGCGATTGCCACTGCCCATAGGGTGAGATCCCGAACGCGGTGGCCCACGGCGGCCAGATCTGCCCAGATCTGACCGTGCACGGATCGGAAGTGAAAGGCTCTCGGCAGTGGTCACCAAAAGACCGGGTAAAGCGGGTGATAGCGACACACAAGGATGCCACAACTAGTTGGGGAAACGTAAACAATCTCTGTTTCGTTCGGTTTGCTTTTATATTCAACACGATTGAATAAGATTGATTCCGTTCCTAAGGTTGGGACAGCTCGTCCAAACTTTTGTCCAGATACATCCAAGTTTGTCCCGTTCAATGCGTATTACCAAATGCTAAACGAGATAACTTTCGTCCTATCTAGAATTTTAATCGAGCCACCAGACGCGCCCTCGAGTCTTCTAATGACGTGATAACTTATGCTGTCTATGCCAATTTTCTTTTGCGACTCACCTTTTGCTTGATGAAAACATTCGCAATCTATTAAAACATAAAGATGGTTATGTTATAAAACCATTCGCAATCAAGAACAAATTTACTCTCCGTTAGTTTCCGTTATATTTTACCGTCAAATTTCTAAGTTAGATGACACGTGATAATCAACAGTTGTGCTAGTTTAGGATTTTACCCATTTGTTTGTCACAGATTTATTAATTTGTAATTTTTTGTGGTATTAACCCTTTTATCTTATTTTCGGCCTTGTTATTTTGGATGGATGATTTATCTACGATGATCAGACCAATTCCATTTGATATTTACAAAGTCAAATTCAACTGAGATTTCCTAACTTGCATAAATCTGCTACGGCAGCGTCCACGGATTGCTAGCGCTATTAACAATTTGACCGCATGAGAGTAAAATGCTTCTAGAACAAAGGGTCCCTTGGTACGAAGGAAAAGTATTTTCGAGAAATTATTTTTCAATTTTCTGATATTTTGATAACGGAAAATTAATCAATCCACAAAAAATACTTTCCATTGATCGAAAATAACGAACTTAAATTAGGAGAAAACGACTTCCTCTAATAAGAAGGAAATCACTTGATCTCAACCACCAAACAAAAGAAAATTAACAATTTTCCTTGAAAATGATATTCGTGGTAAATATTATGGAAAAATGACATAGATATTCCGTGAACTTTCGCCCGATATGAAATGTCATCCCTGAACTTTTAGATCGTTTAATGTGGTTTGTGAACTTTTGGTATGTATTTAATCTACTCTATGAACAATATAAAAATATTTAATTTGAGTTCAATGACAATATTGAAAATTTTTATATAATTCAGGGACTAGAGTGAATATTTATCAAAAGTTCACCATATTGAAAAAAATAGAAAGTTCAGTGATGATATTCCACACTGGGCCGAAACTCACGGACTATTTGTGTAATCATCCCAAATATTTTCATTTATTATGAAAATTTAAGCAAAACAAACTCATCCGGTGAAAACTTCGCGATAAAAAAGAAAATTGCTTTTCAGGAAAATGTTTTCCTTTTTAAAGATAGGAAGTTCATTTTCTCAACTTTGAGCATACATATTTTTTTAGATCGTAAACGGTTTTCCGTTGGCCGATCATCTGCTGCGAACCAAAAGGCGTGAAAGTCCAAAAAAATCAATTCGCTCAAATAAATACACCCGAAATTTTCGGAAAATCGGGCTAAAACTTGGGCATAACTAAACGACGACGAACTAGTCAGGGATCGAAACGTCTCGATTGCATCGAAACGACGTTCGGTGCAAGT